TTAAATGATCTTCCTTGGATTTATAGCTTGCCGAACTTCTTTCTGGGCTCAGCTCCCCGTCTTTGACTTCATAGATTCTGATTCCAACCAGTTTTTCTTCCTTTGTTCAGGAGCCTCTGACCAGGGTTGCTACCAGTCGGCCATCTTCCCAGAATGAACAGGGAGTTTTCTATCTGAAGTACCTCTTCTCATTGTCAAGGTCAGAGGGAGAAACTTTCAGACCACTGGACTTTGCCAGTTCATTCCCTTGTTAAACCAGCTCACCTAGCTTAGCCAGCACTGGAGAGCTCTGGAAGAAATGGATCTTTACAAGGAGGCAATCTCATGAATAGCTTCCTCTGTACTCGGACCACATACAGTATAAACATATCTTTCTTAGTAGACACATCTGTTAAGATAGGAGAGAATGAGTTATTTAATTCTTAAATTATGATCTTTTTATTTAGGTTTTTATTCTACTCAGCTCATTATCAGTCTTTGGAATCTCTGTAGCTCTTGAAAAATAGGCCAATTAATTCTTAAGATATTTGAAATTCAAGTAGTATATCTACATAGATTGATTAGTACATTTATTGTACATAAAATATTGCAGTTACAGTAAATTGTTATAATCTATGATTTGAAGGTACCTACCATTGCTGCTACTGATAATGATAATGAAATATCCATGCCAATTGTCATAATGGAAATTCCACAAATGAATTCAGGGAGAAAGTTAGAGGCAATAAATGCAAATCATTTGTGGATGGTAAATGGACCTGGGTTTCCATTTTTTGCTCCTTAATGAGAAGAAATAAGACTGTATTTTAAAGGGACAAACACTCCAGAAAAATAGCTGTTGTTTACTTCATTAAAAGTAAGTGGAACAAGTCTTCTACCATTAATTATCTGCAGAATATATTTTAATGTGCTAATGATTTATCTTAATGAGGCCATGAACATATTTATGTGACTAGAAATCCTATTTTATATATTTATTGATTGAAATTGTGACCTAAGGAAAAATGGTAGAAGCCTGTTCAATTTAAATCAATAAATCGTTTTGATTCCTTTATGGCAGAATCAGTGATGAATACACTGGTACAAATGAAGTGATTCAGTCGACATCAGGCATCTTGAACAGCTCTATGAATTGATCTGGTACCCATGTGGCAATTATCTGGTTCTATTGTATCTAAGTATCATTAATATCATTAAAGAGAAAGAGTCATTTGGAATGTTTACTTATCAGAATCCAAAGGAAATTAATTCACAACTTAGGGACTTTTTCATTGTAAAAAGTGACATTGATTATTTCATTTGTTTTTTTAGTGAACGTAGTTTATACTACAGAGCTACTTTCATTAATTGTTTTAATGTCTGCATTTCAGGCTTCTTGGGTTTCAAGTACACTAGGTTTCTGGTTTACTGAACTTATAGAAAGAAACAGCCAATTTACCTCTTGGATTTTCAATGGCCGCCCCCACTGCTTTTGGATGACGGGCTTTTTTAACCCCCAAGGATTTTTAACGGCGATGCGACAGGTAATAGCTTTGATTTGTGCCTGTCGTGTTATTATAATTTTCCTCTACAGGGTTTTCTTCTTTCATTATAGTTTTAAAGACTATAATAAGACAGAGAAAGACTGTCTCTTTTTGGTACTAGCAGTTATACTGTCATGAACATAAATCCAGCCACTTGTTCTCAGGCTGCTGCTAGCTTGAATTTTAAAATATTTATTTATTATTTTTGTATTTTATCTTTATTTTATATTTCTGTTTAAAGTTCCAGTGGTGAAATTAGGACACAGGTACTTTTTTATGAGAGAATCTTTTTATTTCTTTAAACACAATTCTATTTCTTTTAAATTAGGGTAATTTGAAGCTAAAGTTTTGTTATTATTATGCTCTTTCAGTTAAGACAAAACTCTGATTGCTTCTCTCATCCTCTCCTACCCTGAATAGGAAATAACTCGGGCTAACAAAGGCTGGGCTCTGGACAACATGGTGCTTTGCAATGAAGTCACCAAATGGATGAAGGATGACATTTCTGCCCCTCCCACAGAGGGGGTCTATATCTATGGCTTGTATCTGGAAGGTGCTGGCTGGGACAAGAGGAACATGAAACTCATTGAATCAAAACCCAAAGTGCTCTTTGAGCTCATGCCTGTCATCAGGATTTATGCAGAAAACAACAGTGAGTCATTTTGTACATTCGGTGAGGGTTGGTATTGTTGGGCTGGATGACGTGCGTGATAAGCTTAGGATTTTATTCTTTTTTGTTATCATGTAATTGAGAGTTCATTGTTTTATCAACTAGCTCTATACTGACATCCATGTTTAGTGAGGAGTTATTGGTCTCTAGACATTTTCTTGAATGCCATTGGGGAGGCAGTAGTTCTAGATAGTTTTTGATTATATAATCATACAGATTAAATATATGGATATTCATGAAACATTTGCCGATGAGATGAGAAAGAAATGTTTGGATGGTTAATACATGTCAGGAAAGGGTTAGATAACAGTAACACCAAGTGGTTAGGGCCTGGGTCTTAGGAGAATTAGGCCTGCATCAGACTTTGAAGGTTAGATATGTGGGGGGGGATGAGTGAGGGTAGGAAGATACTCTAGGTGGGACTACCCATGGTTCCCCTGAAGACCATGGCTCTACCAGCTTGGAGATTTGAGCCAGGTTGTAAAATCAAGATTGAATTCAGGGGCATTGAGCTTAATCCTTCAGCTAATGGTAATATGCTGGATTCTTACCTAAGTCTTTGAATGTAATAATACTTCTATGAAGCACACGTTATTAGACTTTGGCAAAATCATCAAAGCTAAGTTTAAAGTCGTCTAAAATTTCCTAAACTATTTTCCATTGTTAGCTTGACATTTTCTGGAGGCTTTTGTTGTTGCCTTTAACTCACTAATATCTCTTCAGCAATAGACATCTTTCAGCACACAGGGAATTCTCTATTCATTTTAGAAGCACAAACCATAAACTCTAGAGGTAGCCTTGATGGGGATCCCGAGGAAGTACTGATTTTATGAGATGAGCACAAAACATTATAACAAGTAAATGGATAAAATAATCTCTCTTTGAAAGACAGCTGGAGGTATCCTCACTTCTTAGCTAAGTAACACATTCAAAAACATAAGCCAGGGAAAAGATTTTATAAACAGTAAGTATTCATTTTTAGGTAAGCATTTGCTGAGTACTTAATAGATACCAGCCATGACCTTAGGGGCTAAGGGTGTGAAGAGAATTATGAACAGGATTGCCTACAGGGACTCATAGTCAAATGAAGGAGCCCCATCAGTAAATAAATAATTGAAATGGAAATGAATAAATGTTATGATAGATAGACACTCAGGTGCTCTGGGAGCCTGGAAGGAAAACAGCTATGTCTGGGAGAACAGGAGAGATTGCTTTTGAGATGCGCTTTGGAGCACGATGGGAAAGACTTTTTTTGGCTAAGGGAAATGACTTTAGTTACCTGTTCAGTCATTGACTGTTTATTGGGCACTGACCTTCTGTCAAGCACTGCTGTGGTACTGGGACAACAAAAAAAGAGGTGGACTCCCCATTCTCATGGTTCCCAGTCTCAAAGAGGGGCAATAGTCAGACCAAAAGCAAATATAGTCAAACGTGTTGCTCGAAGGTTCTGTTTTTGTGATTTGCCCATGTGCTCAATTTCTTTGTAACCTGAAAATTGATACTTCTGTCACCTTCTTGGCCATTTGCAGACATGCACAGAGCATTGAAAAACTGGAGTTGCCTTTCGCACATGTTCCCAGCTGGGGCTGAATAAGGCCACAGTCTACTTTCTTGTTTCAGTTCTTCTACTCTATTTAGTGCTGTGTTTCCAATTTTTTATGCTTTTCTCTCTTTAAAATGGCCTCCTAAATGCTGTAGTGCCTAAATGCCATCTCCTGCTTCTGAGCACAAGAAGACTGTGGCATGCCTTATGGAGAATATATGTGTGTTGGCTAAACTTCCTTCAGGCATGAGTGCTGTTGGCCTTGAGTGTAAAGTTAATGAATCATCAATGCATATTTAAGCAGTGTCTTTGAATAGAAACAGATATAGAACAAGATTATGTATTGATTGCTTGATGAAAATGTTGTGAACAGATTCTTTCAGGAAACAAACCCTGAATCTCCCTTGGAGCGGTGGCTCAGCATCCTTTAATTCAGTGTTCTTGGTGACTTCATAGGATATAACTGCCATGAAAAATGAGAATGGACTATAAATGAATGTACTGATTTTAGACAGTTTTCGTTTCGCTAAAGAAAACACACATGTAGTGTTTTAGTCCATTTTCTGTGGCTGTAACAGATGCCACGGACTTGGTAAATTACAGACGATCGAAGTTTATTTGGCTCATGGTTCTGGAGGGTGGGAAGTTCAGGAGGATGGCACCGTGTCTGTCAGGGTTATCCTGTGATGACAGGCAAAGAGCAGAAATGAGCACATGAGACACAGAGCGAGGCCCCAGGTGCCAAATTCTCTTTATAACTACCTATGCATGCGATTACTAGCCCATTTGTGAGATAGTGACATTAATTCATTCATGAGGGCTTTACCCTGAGGACCCAATAACCTCCTTTAGGCCTTTTCTCACAACACTTACATTGGAGATAACGTGAAATTTGGGGGAGACACCCTCAAGCCATAGCACATGGTAAGCTAGAGTATGAAATAATTGAGGAGTTCAATGAGGAAGGCACATTGAACCAAGATGCACATGACAGAAAGGGGCTGTGCTAATATCCAGGAATAGAGGGAAAGTGAAAAGGCAAGAGGTGGGAACGGACCTGCCAAGTTCAAGGAGCAGAAGGCACGTGTAGCTGAAGACCATGATGAAGGGCAGCAGTGGGAGAGATGATGTCAGAGGTGTGTGTGAGAATGCAGGATGCAGTTGGGGTACCATAAGCAAAGAATTTCTGGGACATGGGATGCTGGCAGGGCTTGAGGATATAAAGGGGGAGAGAGCCCAGGAATGAAGAGTGTGGTTGACTTCTTTAAAATTTTGAAGTTGCTGTGTGAGTGGTGTGACCAGATTTTTCCTTAGGGAAGGTGAAGACCCACAGGAGTGAGGCTGGAGAATAAAAAAGGGGGGTCTGAGAAGGAGGAAGCCCCGGGAGAGGCTGTTGGAGCAATTCATCAAGTGATAATGAGGCAGCATGGAAAGGGTGTGACGGTCAGGAGTGAGTGGACAATAAACAGCTGGAACCTAAAGAAGACCTGAGCATCTTTTGGATGAGGGAGGAAAGGAGGGAACTGAAAATGGCCTTAAGGTTTTCAGATTTCTCATCTGCATCAGTGTATATGGGCTGTGATTGGCTGGGAGTGACCCTTACAGAGAAAACACAAGGTTCTGAAAGGCACGGGGGTGGGGTCACAGAGCAGAAGCAGTTGCAGCCAATCTTGGTGTGGTTTTCCATGGCATCTATGTTTCCAGTGGGACATGTGGCTGCCGAGATTGCTCCCCACTTAAGCCTAAGTAGTGACTGCCAGAGCTGAAACAGAAACCCAATTCTGTCTACAGCACTACCCCTTTATACTCAAGTTTACATCATCTGTCTAGAAGAACATAACCTTTTAATTACATGTCTCTGACTAGAGAAGGATGAGATGGATATAAAATCGTTTATGATTTATGGTAGGTTCTACAATTTTTGAAGCAAGCTCAATGCTAGTGGGGCCATATTCTCTTGCAGAGGTGGGAGGACCCCCTGTGCTTGTGTGTCCTTTCACCGTGTCCCTGCCTCCCAGCCTTCTTGGGTCCTGGGAGCACATATACCCTTAACTCTGGCTCAATATACAAACCTACGTACCTGGGACGTTTTGAGTTATTCTTGGAGCCATGATTGCAAATCCGCTTCTCTAGGACTAGTGAATAATAGAGGAGGAGAATGAATGTCTTCCAGAGAGACAAGGCGTCTGTCTGCACTTGGTCTTGGATAAGATAATGTGTCCATGGTACGTTCAGGAGAGTTGTTTGGTGGACTCCCAGCAATACCAATAGGGATAACAACAAAATTAAAGGAAAAAACCTTAAACCTTACTGATTTCTTCTTTGTAGCATGTGCCCAGAATTCCCCTGAGAGTTTTACAGAGACAGTCCGTCTTTTTTCCTTGTGCTGCTCATGAAAGGCTATTTATTCTTACCCAAGTTTTACTTTAGAAGATGATGCTAGGTCTCGGGAGTTGTCTACAGCTCAGCAGCTGGTAAGCAGCGCAGCTGCGCTGGGGTTTAAGCCTGGGTTACCCTGACTCCAAATCTGGGGTTTTCCTCTATGCAGGCTCTGCTCAAGAGTTTAGGGTGGGGGTCAGAAGGCAGGCTCAGTGGGGGATATTTGGCTGTCAGTAGTGTTTAGGTTGATAACAAGGCTCCCCATGAAGGAAGTTCTTAGGTATGAGGTGGAGATGGCACTGGGGCCCAAAGACAGAACTGACGTTTATGGAGAGCATTTTACGAGTGGGTTTCACTCTGTGTCTCATCTAAGTTTTGAAACAGTTTGTTAGGAAACTTTATCTTTGCTTTGAGGACAACAAGTTAAGAGAGGTTACCAGTGTTTAAAGGATGAAGGAAGGGGCGCCTGGGAGGGGAGATTTGAGTGCCAGATAAGGAACGGGAAGGTTCTCAGCACACTGCTTGGCGCATGTGTGGCTCCGAGTTCCTTAGTTGAATCTGAAAGGATAAATGTGTCTGGCTGGGCTTACGTGTAATGCCGGAGGCTTTAAATTTATTGGTTCATGTTGTGAAATCCTGCAGCAGCGACTATTTTATAGAAATAATAATCAAAAATGTTCTTTTAGCCAAAAATGGTATTTTAGAAATCTTGTTTTATCATATCATTGCTTCTAGTCAACATGTTGTAGAAATTTTTCCCTTAGAAAATGAAAGAAAAGTCTTTCCTAATTTGAGTTAGATGTTATTCCCCCCCCCACATGACTATACTATAAAAATCCATGGCAATTTGACATTGAAAATCTCAGCATGATAGTAATAAAGAAATAATTTTATAATACTGGTGATTCTTTATTACCTAAGAACAGGTAGGTATTTATGGCTGAACTGTGCTCGCCCTGCTGGGCATTAGCTGGGGGTGGTACTCGGTAGCAGCAGGTGAAGGAGAGAATAAAGTAAGCAAAGGAAAAAGGAATTAATGCCGGCGTATTTTTAAAATGAA